TAAATTCTGAACGCTGATTGGCTAAGAGCCGTGTTGATATAACTCAATGTCAACACGGGAAATTTTCTGCCATTTGTAAACACGGAACTTTTTCGTATCCTTCGGGCTTTTGACATCGCTATATTATAAAAAAAATATAAAACATTTTTTCCGTATTGATATATAGTTATATCAACACGGAAAATGTTTTATATTTGTTAAATATTAAATATTGTGAATTGAAAACAAGAGTGGTTATAATTTAATATAATTATTATACAAATAATATTGTTATCTAAAAAAATTATAATCCAGACAACACTATAATTTGTAAAAATTAATTTTAATTCACGAAATGCTAAAGAGTGCTCAATATCACATAGAGCAAATAGCGTAGTTTTTCACCTGGGTTTTAGTGAAACAGAAAAACTATATATACTACCCTGTCAAGCGAAATTCCTGACCTCTGCGAAATGCCTGACCATGCAAGCGTGACGGCCCTGACGGGTCAGAAATTTCACACGAAATATATAACGATTGCTAAATTCTAAGTTAGCCGAAACCGTTTTTTAGAGTTTAGATAAAATAATTATGATGTTAATTTCTAATACTTCGTTAAATATTTCAAATCGACATCTCTAAGTTTCAATTTAGAAACACTTTTTAAAAATTTCAAAGCTGACTGTGTGGTCGTGGGCCGCGAAATACACGACGTTTGCTAAATACGACCGAGTCGGTCGAAACGATTTTTAATTTTTAAGTACTATTTAATAATAAATAATAATAATAATTTAATTTGTATTGCGCAAGTTCCATTCAAATATGCTCACATGCGCATAACAATAATATAAAAATAAAATCTAAATATTTACATGAAAGATAGTTAAGACGATCCAGGCTATTCATTCATAATCACTATAGAGTATATATATTATTAGTTTCGTAAAAGATATATTATTATTGATAAAATCACACTATTTTGTTATTGAGTTTTTTGAAGCTTCCAATGGAATCAGCTTGCTGAATGTGTTAAGGTAAATCATTCCACAAATTTGGCGCTGCACATCCAAACGAACGAGACGTGAAGGAGTGTTTTACCATAAAAGACGAGAAGGAGTGTTTTATCCTATTTAAAACGCGAGGCACAGCCGAGCGTTTTAGATATGATAAAACGCGAGTTCGAGTGTTTTGAATAGCTTAAAATACAACTACAAAAGAAATTACTAATTAGGATGAACAATTATATAATCATACTAATTAGGATGAACAATTATTATAAAGAATATAAAGTCACTCCACGTGACATATTATGGCTGACATGATTTGCCACAAGATTTATGAATTGTTAATGAGTATTTTAAGTCCATATACGATGTTACCAATAGTATCGCTAAATGTTTCTAATACAGACATCGCTAAATCTAAATGGGCAATACACCACCTCATTGTTGCTGTTTACTAAATAGTGAAAAGGTCAAACACGAAACAATTTTTGGTGCTAATAATAATGCATATACAGTATAGCATCATGCATGCACCTTGGAAACTGGATTTTATTCTATGTCACTAAGAGCGCTTTTCAATTGACTTTTTCCATTGGCAGATTTTAGAGTCAAGCTTTATTATCGCTGAACGCTAACGTTCACAACTAGTGGTATAGTGTCAATTCAGTTGATCAATTGTAGAATTTGAAAATTTATGTATAAATGTTATCTAACAACATGACTTTATAAATACACGTGTAGTCAGATATTTCGCAAGTCAGAAATTTCGCGTCACACCTGCATGGTGTTTCAAAAAAGAACTGGACACAGTTTGATATCATGTAATGTAAAAGATATAAAAGCTTTCGCAATGAAATAAAATCGTTGCATTTTGATATACACTTGAATTTACATGCAATATTGAGCGAGATACAACCAAAATAAAAATATTTATTATTTAACAAGTATAACTACATTAATATACAAGTATAACTACATTAATATACAAGTATAGCTACATTAATTACAAGGTTGTTTTATGCTAATTTTTCAAGGCATTTTCAAAAACAGTAGTTCAACCTTCAAACATCAATAGCGCAGTTGCATGTAAATGCAAGTGCTACTATATATCAAAAGCTAAGAATTATATAGTCCTTTCTGAATGCAATGATCTTTATTTAATTGCGATAGCCTTTATACCTTTTACATTACATGAAATCAAACAGTGTCCAGTCTTTTTGGGGACACCCGGTACATTTCACGAGATATACGAGTAGTTTCAATCCGAAAATGGATTATTCTAAATAACTACTTTGTTTTTGCCGCAGAATACATTTACATATGACTCTGTCCTTTGGAAAAACGAGGAGACGTACGCCATAGAAGACGGACTGGAAGGGATATCAGAGAAAGAAAGCAAGTTGGCTTCATATTGGAACACTCCGTTTACAAAAATTTGCCTGGGTATGTCACACAATGGAGAGAGAAAATGGACAACATTTGACTACGCCGCAAGTTCGCTGTACAGCGTGATCGCAGATGGACAATTCAGGGCCACGACCGCTGGCAAGGCTACATGGAAATCCCTCATCGCGGGCTCATCATTACAATACAAATGCAACAGAGAGGGATTTAATGTAAAGTTCAATGGCAATTCCGCCATGCGAATTGGAATCGTTGCTAATAATGAGGTCAACTGTGATTCATGCGATTCTTGGCTTGGCTTTAGCACAGCATATGTTAATGGTGATGGTACATGGACCAATAGAATGGTTTGCGGTAACAAAGCAGGTTGCTGTTATCCCGACAATGGAAGTAAAACACTGGTCACATTCGGATATATTCTTATTCAATAATTATTTTGCAATCCACGCCATCTTAGTTGATTTTCAAAATAGATTTAAACTATATAATTATGATCCCAAAATGAAAAGCTATCCATAACATAATTAAGACCGGAAGTTTTCCTTGACAAATTTTTCTTGATAAGTTTATACCTTGGCAGCCCACATTTTTCCTATTTGAAAGAAAAGTTTTCACCTTTGTCCCTCTCAGTGAAAGTTTCTTAACAAGGCACTGCATGCGACAAAAAAGGAGACTTTTTAAGTTGTGGGGTAAGCAGGGACGTCGCTACAGAGGTGTGTGGGGGTGTAACACGCCCCCCCCCCCAATAATTCAAAACGTTGGTCAAAGTTGGTAAAATTTGGTTAAAGTTTGATACGAAAATGATCAAAGTTATGAAATCGTTGGCAATTTTAACAATTTCTAAGCTTTGGTCATGTTTGCGCTGAAACAATTGCAAGCCTTGCTAATTTTGGTCGAAAATATTTGAAACTTTGCTTATGTTAGTGCGGAGAATTTTTTGAACTCCTCGACAACATTTTCGGGAAACATTTCTACTACTTGGTCAAAATTCTAGGAAAAGTTGGTCAAAACATGACGACACCCCCCTCCCCATAATACATAAACTTAAGTTCAATTTTCTCACCAAATATCATTGATTATACTGGCCGTAAGGCCCAGTGTTGAGGTTCCTTAATTTTCTGTGCGAAAATTCTTCGTTTTTTTCTTCAACGTAAAATCGACCTGCGTTGATGAAGTGAACCGCTGACCTGCAATGAATCGCAGGCGCATGTCAAAATGGCCGCCAGGTAAGGAGCGGAAGCTATGCAATAGGATTTTTTGTCTTGTTTGTTTATTACTATTGATATAGTGTTCTTTGAATTTTGAAACATAGCATACTCAAATGTTTCTCGTATATCACCTGCGTATTAGTTGAACCCTTATATAGCCTGTCTACGGACGTTTTAAAATCCTTAAACGTTTGTGACTTGGGGGCCTTCGGTTTGTTTACTATAATATTGATGTAGTTTTCTTTGAATTTTTACACCTAACATACTCGAATGTTTGTAGTATATTACCTGCGTATTAAGCCTGGCGCACACGATGCGATTTTAACAAAATCGTTGTGTGTGGTGTCATTTTTAACCGATTTTTGTTGCTCGATTTTAATCGGACAACATCAAAACGTTTTGATATTATACGATTTTTATCGGTGGAATTTTAAGTATAACCAATCAGATTTCATGCTGTGATCACATGCTTGTATTTATTTGGCAACATGGCGGCTACAGTTCAATCGTGTGCGGAGTATACCGATGTATATCGGTATGTCAAACGATTTTTATCGGCCGACTAAAATCGCATCGTGTGCGCCAGGCTTTAGTTGAATCCTATAGCCTGTGTAAGACGTTTTAAAATCCTTGAAAGTTTGTGAACTTTAACTTATAATAAAATCCATCATGTTTAACAATTCAGTGTAACCGTTGTTTTTGAGAAGAATGATCTTTCTTTGAAGAACATAGTGTAGAATGATTTACAGTACAGTATTATCAAATATCCATCGGTTATGACCTAGCACATGACCATTGATCAATTATGTTATGACCATTGCCAATGACCATATGATAACCACGATTTAATAGTGTCAAGGAGGAATATAGTTTTATGTTTTATTCAAATTATTTAAACACGGTATAGCCATTTAGCATTCGCTGGTTTTCAATGGGCCGTGTACGTAATAAAAATTTACAAAAATAATTATGAAGCCTAACTACTGATCGGCTTCACACTACTCAGTCACTAATACAACAAGGTATACTAATTATCTTTACTAGTACAATAATACTTAATTAATTATTATTACAGCCTATAAAGTACACGTACACGGGGTACTCGTCAATCGCTATAGTTGTTACCATAGTGATTGATGAGCAATGTCTTTAATACGTTCGCTGTTTTAGTACCGATGTTTTGCGTTAAAGTTAAGAGAAGGTTGTTCCACGATTTTGCCGCTCTATAGGAAAAGTTTTTTTTAAGTTGTGCTAGGTTTTGCTAATGACAGTTGGTCAAAATTACTTCTCAAATTATATGTTTCATTCGAGCAACGATTATATAATTTAGTAAGATATGGAAGAGATGTTCTCTCGAGTTTGTAAATATGTGTTCATTGGTAACCGGTTAAGTTTTTGAAATACTTCGTTAGATCGAATATCATAAGAATCACCGGTAATTACGCGTGCCGCTTTCTTTTGAAGTTTAGACATTTTAGTTAATTTGTTTTTAATTCCGTCATACCACACAGTCGAACAATAGTAAAAATTAGGAATTATAAAAGCGTTATACATTTTCTCGAGAACATGCCTGGGAACGAAAGAGCAATGTTCTTTGAAATTGTTTTACTTTGTTCCTCATTATGTTTGTCCCACTTAAGCTGTTCATCTAAGATAACACCAAGTGTATTTTTATGTGGTACACGCTTAATTACTTTCTCACCAAGTTTAATTAAGGGACCATGTTCGAAAGATGGCACTCGTTGCTTTGAGCATATTATTATAAATTCCGTTTTGCTCTCATTTAAGGTTAGTTTGTTTGCAATGAGCCACTGATCCACATTTACAAGGTCATGATTTAGTTTTGTTTCAATTTCGTCTACGGTTGATCCTGTTGCTGAAAGAGTTGTATCGTCAGCAAATAATCTGGCCTTAGGTGTTTCAAGGTAGTTAGGCAAATCATTAATGTACAAAAGGAACACGAAGGGGCCAAGATTCGATCCCTGTGGGACTCCGCAGTGAATTCTTTCTCATCAGAAAGTTTACCATTAATTGCACAGACCTGTTTTCTATTCGTAAAATAAGATCTGAACCAATCTAAACTGTGCACTCTTATTCCATACAGCTCTAACTTAGAAAGTAATATTTTATGATTAACCGTGTCGAATGCCTTTTTTAGATCCAGGAACTATACCCCATTAATTAGACCTTTATCCATGTTGCCAAGCCATTCATTTGTTGAATCTAATAGTGCCGTTTCAGTCGAGTGATACTGACGGAACCCAGACTGATCGTCTATATATATGATGTTATTTTCCTTCATAAAGGATCTTAATTGACTACATACTAGTTTTTCGAATATTTTGGCAACAATAGATATTACAGAAATTGGTCGATTATTGCCGCATTCTGTTTTCGAGTCATCCTTATGAACTGGCGTTACCCTAGCTAATTTCCAGTCGTCAGGAAATATTCCAGATTGCAATGATAAGTTAAAAATGCTAACCAATGCATGATTCATTTATTGTATCTCCGGCGTCTTTTAATAGCTTGGCACTTACACCGTCAATCCCAGGTGACTTTTTTATCTTAATTTGAGCTATTGTTTTCGTCAATTCTAGAGAACTAATATTTTGAAAGTAAAATGTATTCGTAACAGGTGGTACGAAGCGCAATGAATCGGAATCTATACCGGTCACATTACTAGCAAGTTTTGATCCTATTGTAGAAAAACAATCATTGAAGCAAGAAGCAATATTTTCATCTCCTTTGACACATCGATTTTCAATTTGTAACTCAGGAATTTCTGTAGTCTTAGATCTTTTATTTAGCAAGCTGTTAATTGCCTGCCAACTGTCATAACTGTTATTTGCATTACCAAGCCTCGTTTTAAAGTAGTCTTCCCTAGTGGTTTTTATTAGTTTGTTAACATAATTCTTATGCCTTTTATAAGCAGCATCATATGCTGCAGATCTAAATTTAACAGCTTGTTTCTTAAGGAAATCTCTAGCTTTGATAAGATAATTTCTTAATTTGGTTTGTAAGCCATGGTTTATAATCACTTTTAACCCGGCGTCGTTATACATGTAAGTGTTATTCAAACCGTTCTACCAACTGTTCTACCCTTGCATACCAGCACGTATTATAAGGCCAGTGTGAACGCCTGAGCAGGAGTCTTGTTTATTTTAAATTGTTCAAGAATACGAATGTTCTCATCAAGACGTTTCATGCACAAGTCATATTTAAAACATTCGCGTCTACAGCGGGTACCCATCCACAGGAAACTCTCTGGGTATTAGCCTGCATGCCGTGTTGTCATGGCGGCTAATGTTGTAAATAGTACACGTACATGCTACATATTATATAGTATACTACTTATATACTACTATTGCAAAGATGGTATTTTTTGAAAGTGCAATAATTACAAAGTAGAAAAAAATAATTTAGCACTTCCACGGTGAACGATGCTTCACATTTAAAGCCAACATGGGAAAATATTAGATATTTTAATAATTAGGTTCATTATTAATGTCGTGCAAAACACACAGAACTATTAATTGTTTCTATTTCTACACGCAGATCAAAACAGACAAACATAAATATTCTATACGGCATTTCAATTACTCTCAGCTGCTCGTACCCGTCGTCGGGAGTTAAATTTCGATACCTCACGGTCAAAACCTTGCTTGCAACATCATAGGAATTCGATTTAGCCGAAGGAGTTCTCTAATTTGAAACAATGCTAATACGGTCTGCCCTTTGGGCTTTTTTGTTAAACTTGTTTGGTCAAGTGGTAAGAGGTGATAGCGACATTATATTTCAAAGGAGACCAGGGCGTTATTTGGGAAATTACATAATACGATCGTTGAAAACAGAAGACGAGTTCGACTGCAGCAATAGCTGTTTCAATGAACCAGGATGTGTGTCAGTAAATCTTAAAGTGAAAGGAAGGAATAAAGGTTTATGTGAACTCAATTCCAAAACGCTTGAAGAATTACCAGAAGAGGGACAATGCGATGCAGAAAACGTTTACTTTCAAGTTGATATGAGTGTAAGAAACTAAATATATATAATTATTTATTATTGAAGTTTAATATGTTAAAATAAATCATTGAGCACTTTGGACAACTGGCAACTTAGGACCCAATATAATATGAGCAAAAAATGCTCGAATGGTCTAGAGTTCTACAGCTATAACATACATTTTTGTACCTGTATATATAGAACAGGAGAACCTATAGATTTTAATTACAGAGGAAGTGAGCCAGCACTGTGCATGTTGTTCAGCGAGTTGATTGTCTCCAAATTACCACGACACTAAGGGTACTGAAGACCTTACAGAGAATTCAAAAACTATATAGATTTTTCTAGAGAGGCAGGTGACCATCTATAGATAGCAGGGGCACAGACGAACCCTATAGATGGAGTTATTTTGAACCAAATTCTTCAGTCTTCGTCGAGAAAAATAATAAATATAGCTATTAACACAGCAATGTGGAGTTTAAAATGAACATGCAGTCACAGCAACAGACAGTTGTGGTGTGAGAGAGATATACAACTACCTGAAAAATATAAGTAGAACGTCGACGTTTCGAGCGAAGGCCCTTCGTCGAGAAGTTTTAGTAGTTGCATGGCTAATAAATCATATATAGGCGTACGGGGGTAGACATAAAATTTTCCCGATCTTGATGAAATTTCCCAACAACTACAATACTTTTTTCGCCGCCATCTTGCGAAAGGGTCGACAGAGCAGGAATTTTAAAACCTACCAATTTCTTCCTATTTCGACGATTTTAAACGCGTCGCTTTTCCATTTATTTTTTATCTTCCCTTCATTTTTTTATCTTGAAGTTCCCTTAATTAATCATTTAGCTAATACAAAATCGCAATTTGCCCGGTTTTCAAGTACAATCTGCCCGATTTTTTAGTATAAACCGCCCGACCAAGATATAGCTGTTAGCCCGAAACGTCGAAATTCTGCTTATATTTTTCAGGTATAGTTGTATCTCCAGCCCTCGCATGGCAGCTGTCTTTGCACTGGTACCGACCGTTGGAGAGCAAGTTAAAAGCAAGTGACGTTTTTATCAACACGGACGTCTGTTTGTGTCAGTTTGGACAAAACATAAGATTTTTATGTTTTTGTTTCCTTACATGAGCGCTATGAAGCAAAATGCCGCCAGTACTAGTTATACTAATTTTCGAGTGACATCCGTGATGACAAAAACGTCGTTTATGCTTAAGCTCACTATCATAAGTCACAGGAACATCATATATTTTAAAATTCTGTATATGTTATCAAATTGTAATGATTATTTGTGTTCTTAATTTTTCTTCTTCTAGAGTTGTAAAGAAAACGAAGAATTTTCGTCCGGTGAGTAATCTTGGCAACTATATTATTAACAAGACGCTCCACAGAGCGTTAAGTCGCTGGGGCGATGGAAATATGCAACTTTAAGCACAAGTAATACCACTAAAGAAGAGCGTGCTTGTTCAGTTTTCCGAAAATATTGATTCTTGAAGTTTGCCTGGTAGTTAGCGCTAATAGTTAAAACAAGTACAACCATGTAGCAATGTTTGTTTTAATAGTCATATAGTATACAGTATCTATCGTATGTGTTAAAATTATAAGCGTTTATCCTGCTGTCATTACACAGATCGGCTGGTGTTATGTTACCAACTGGTGCGTCGAAGGCTGGAAGGCAAGAATATTCTTCCCTTCGAAACTAAACGCATTATAACGTCTGTGTAATATAATAATGCCGCGTGAGAGGAGATTACCAAGCGACTGTATTATGTATAGCAATAACGCTTTAGTCATATCTACAGTGCGCACTGTGCAGTATAAAGGCGGCGATCTGCATGGAATAATAATATATGTTATTGTGCCAAGAAAGATTCCATGTTACTTCCACACAATATCAGGAAATTGAGTTCCTCCTTTTCAGCTTTTGGTAATACGTTTTGTCCCAATGATCAGGTTACAATGAACCTTAATTAGTGTCACACCGGGAATTCGCGGGCTCAAACTCCTGCTGGCGGCCATTTTTCGGGACGAATAGATTGATGATCTGGGAAGTTCTTTACAATCCGTCATATATTTAAACCATCCTTTTATAATACTTGCTCTTTTTGTGTTATTATTATCAGAAATGTACCAAACAAGGTATTTTTATCGCTATTTGTTGTATTTAAGTAAAATGTAAACAATAACAAAAGCCCGCAATGCATGACCCTGACACTAATCCTTTAATAGGAATAGGATTGTAGACTGAAAAGAAGCAAGCGATGTCTGACTTTAAGTTTAATTCTTGATGTAGATCCAAAACACCAAAATATTATTAATGACTGGAAAGTTTGGCAATTGCGCGCCGGAGAATTCGAAAATTCAATAGTAAACATAGAGAAAGCATCAAAATTTGCGCGCCCGATATTTCCGCCGCGCGATACAAACTTTAAGTATATAAAACTATGTACAAATTATCTACTTCCCTCCTGGATAACACAACAGTGTAACGTCGTGATAACTTTTAGTGAATTCTTAATATATTCCTTTTAAAAACCCCAAAAGAAAAGACACGAGTGGACCAAATAGTCAATAGCGAACTTTTGCACGCTATTCCATGGTCGCCATTTTGATTTTTATTTCGTAAGAATTACGTAATTAAAATGACGTAATTTGTTATTTTGTACCAAAGGGCAAACCTAAAGTCGGTGGGCACCACAGATGGCCCCACCGACTAACAATGCAAATTATGGCCATACGTTTTATACTATACCGGATACAGATATACTCTACAGCAGCGGGAAAAGCACCTACGGAATGTGCAACTTTCAGAAGCAACTTGCAAAACAACATCTCTCCATTGCAATAATTGCTCTGACAATAGCGTTCCTATAAAAGGTAGGGATATTTGCGTTTTTCACGTCGCCACGGCCCATGGAAAGCCATCTGCATGGTAGAGTATAAACGTAGCTTAAATTGCAAAAATAAGATTGATTATGTAAATATCTTACTGAAACTTGGTTATACTAAACGAAAATTAGGGGAAAAAATGATATTTTATAATTTTAATTTTAGAAACCAAAAAATGCAAAGAGATCTTCCACTCATGCAAAGATATATTTACAAAATATGAGTAAGTTGACTAACCCATTGAGCTTCAGCGCTCTCACCTTGACGAGTAAACTGAACTGTCTGACGTTGGACAGAGTAAAATAATCTGGCGTTAGACAGCGTAAAATAATTAAGTAGGGTTCATTAGGACAACTTAATGAGTTACATGTCAAAAAATACAGATATACAATATAGATATTTCATATCAATATAGCTCATTACAGCCTAAATACCAATAACAAAGACGTCAACAAAATATAAGGACAATTGCTTTAAAATGTACGCTGGGGTAGAGGGAAGATGGCTCATATTCCAAAAATTACTAAAAATACTGAATACTGTTCCAAACTTCTTATTAATTGCTTATAATATTTAGAAATTCCACCAACGGAATTTATAATTTAAAGTCAATCAGAACCGGCGAATACTACGATGTGTACTGTGACATGACCGACATTGAAACATGCGGAGGGGGAGGCTGGACACAAGTCATGAAATTGGACGGGAATAAGGTATGGAAGAGTAATATTACACGCAGGCAGGGATTGGTATTTGGTGGGAAAATATAATAAATATAAGCCATTTTATAGTATAGGTTATAGGACGGTTTCGAGTGTAATTTGGATAAAACAAGCAGGAGTGAGTTTTTCAAAGAGCATCAAAATAGAGCATCGTGTGCGAGTGCTTATTTTATCCAAATTTCACGAGAAACCATCCTATTATTAATATTATTATACACTCACGCGCACTTAACCAATCAGTGATCGTTGAGAGGGTCACGTGCCGATCCAATATTTTACGATATTGGACAGGAACCTATTGGACAGTTGCGAATTGTGGCTTTTTTCATGGTTTTTCAGCCCTTTTCAGATGTTTTGTCAATTTCAAACATACGACAAACGATACGGCAGAATAATGAAAAGAATTTGGGACATTAATACAGTTTTTTCTACTAGTTTTGTTTAAAATTATAAAAGCGCGAGAAGACTTTTCTTCGCGAAATTTAATTGTTTGCAACAGCCTAGAAGTTAGTAATATTATTTTTTTCGTTAAAATTAGGTCAAATTTCCTTTAAACATACGTGGAAATGAGTTTATTTATGCACACATATCTGTAAAAACAGTTTATTAACTTTTTTTTTAGTTATTTAAGCAAATTCGCCGCCGATGTATGTAGTATTAATGTTGTCGCTGTATTAGTCTCGCTGTATTTACTTTATCGCTTATTGACAATTTTAGTTATAGAATTGTTTTGTTCGATATAATAAAACTCCTATTGGATTCATCTTCGCCCAATATGGCAAAATATTAAGTCTCGACTTCAATATTAGGCTCGACCTTCGGTCTCGCCCAATATTGAAGTCTCGACTTAATATTTTGCCATATTGGGCTCAGAAGAATCCAATAAGATATAATATACCTACCATAATATACCTCGCCTTGTTATACAATATATTACACAAAGATAGCGGCTTCAAAATTTCACTCAACTATCTAAGTTTTGTTAGTCTTGTTTAAAGTAAAGTCTTTTCCATTTAAAAAAAAAAAGATAAAAAAAAAATTTTCCACCCGAACTCAATGCTTGTTTTGTTTTGAAGCAGTTGCTTGATGACTGCTTTAAGCTGACTGGTCGATTTTAGATCCCATTCTTTTGCCATCAACCAGATCTGTTTGTTACAGATTTTTGCACTGTTGTTACAGAATTTTGCATTGCTGTTTGAGATTAACTGCACTAAATTCGAGTAACATTTTTATGTATATTATCAACACAGAAAATACAAATATGTAGTATAAGTATGAACAAGTGTATTTTGCTGGCCGAATTTTCATGTTAACGAGTAATGAATGCAATATAGTAATAAATTGCACCCTGCTGGCTGCATATCTCTTTTAAATAATATGTTAATATGTTGAAAAATCCGAAACTGGATTATTCTAAATAAGTACTTTGTTTTTGCCGCAGAATACATTTACTTATGACTCTGCCCTTTGGAAAAACGAGGAGACATACGCCATACAAGATGGACTGGAAGGAATATCAGAAAAGGAAAGCAAGTTGGCTTCATATTGGAACACTCCGTTTACAAAAATTTGCCTGGGTATGTCACACAATGGAAAGAGAAAATGGATGACATTGAACTACGCCGCAAGTTCGCTGTACAGCGTGATAGCAGACGGAAAATTCAGGGCCACGACCGCTAGCAAGGCTACATGGAAATCCCTCATCGCAGGCTCATCGCTTCAATACAACTGCAAAAGAGAGGGGTTTAATGTAAAGTTCAATGGCAATTCCGCCATGCGAATTGGAATCGTTGCTAATAATCAGGGCGACTGCAATTCATGCAATTCTTGGCTTGGCTTTAGCACCGCAAGTGTCAATAACGATGGTGGTACATGGACCAATAAAATGGTTTGCGGTAACAAAGCGGATTGCTGTAATCCCGATAATGGAAGTAAAACACTTATCACATTTGGATATATTCTTATTCAATAATTTGTTTGCAAACCACGCCATCTTTGACTTTCAAAATTGATTTAAACTATATAATTATGACCCCAAAATGAAAAGGTATCCGTAACAGAGTATACTTAAGCCCCGACGTTTTCCTTGACAAGTCTTTCTTGATAAGTCTACCTACATGTAGCTTGACTGGCTTGACAGCCCACGTTTTTCCTATTTGAAAGAAAAATTTTCGCCTTTGCCCCTCTTAGTGAAAATTTCTTAAAAAGGTAGTCAGGGTGTCAATTCAATCCTTTGACAAAGGAGAATACATTAAGATCATGTTTATTGGCTGTGAATTGCATCCATTTTAGCCAGGACATGCATGTGTAAGAGGACCATTGACTTTTGTTATATGAACCTTTGAACTTTGTTTGGTTATTAAGATTAGGATGCGCACGCACCTATGGACAATGCACAATGAACAATGCACCTTGTCTTATGTAAATAGATATCGATACGCACATTCATTCGAGAGAATTGGAACATAACACGCACTGGGGAAACATTAAAAGATATTAAGAAAGATATACGTATTGAAGTTTTACTTGTTGTGAATCTAATCAAACTGTCCCCCTAACGGCCTCGACGATCCCGCGTGCATGTTGCTATATAATAACAACGAATAAAGAGGTCGTTTTACACATGCAAGAACGGGTTGCAGAAGGACCAATTTGATAGGGATTCTGGAGAAAGAAACATTCATCAGAACATTTCCCATGTTGTGGCAAACGTTCAGGCTGAGGTCACGTGGAAAGTGATTTTTGGAATCAAGTCAGCTGTGTGCGTAGCATGTCCGGCGAACTAAAATCCCACCGGTTCTTTGCATGGTCTTTTTGCCGGTGTTTACACTTCTTTAACATCATATGATTAATCACATAGTATTACGTACTAATGATAATATTTACCCATATTAAGATTTCACTGAATGTATTTGACAATATTCTGCAACTGTGTAAATTGTATTTTATTATTCAAACTTGTATTGTATTTAACACATTTCCCACTGTCACTGATGTATGTGCATGCGAAAGAATAATTGCTTTTATGATTCAAAATTGTATTTAATACTCTCCTTCTATATATAGTTAGTGGGCAAATATCGTGTGATTTTAATCCGTTACTCAAAATTTATATAATTGTGCTGTGTTCACAAATTCGTCGGCAGGCAAATGCTATATAATTGTACAAATAGGCAAATGCTATATAAGTGTACAATGTAGCTTCAAAACGCTTTGTTTTCAGTTCAATCAAGAGACAGTCCTGCAAATTACTACGAAACTATTTCATTAAATAAAGTTCAATTGTCTGAATATAACGGCGTTGCAATTAGAGTGCTTGCTTATAGCTTATAGCTTATAGCTATATAGCTTACGACCATAGATATCTAGTATATGCACTAGATAGTGCATCTAATTATTCTGCAATTCAAAAATTGAAGCCGTGATTGCAGACTCAGGATGTTCCCATGAAATGAGAAGACTCGTATGTTTTCTATTTCTTAAACAGGGAACTTAAACATCAAGTTAAAACTATTCCAAATACATTTTCAAACTATTCAAATGATGAAAGTTATTGTTGTTTCCTAAGCGTTTATTATAGCGAGTGGGAAACTCCAGCATGACCGCCATCTATTCAAATGGGGGTAACCGCTGCAATATTCTTGGCTTCAATTTTACTAAAAGAGATGCGCTATCTAGTGTATATAAGATATATCTATGCATACGACCATGCATTACGACCATATGGAAACCAGGCTTTATAGCCTGAATTAATTTTGTCAGCAACAATTTGTGAACATCTTTCATTTTATCAATAATTATCAAATCATTGCCTAAAGCGCGATCGTTCATGTATAAAAGTTCTTCTTTTTTTGCTTCTAAATACTACTTTAAATTGTTTATTTTAATATATCCTCCATGCGCATGACTTGTCAATCAATAGGCAATTCCAGCTTTTAGTTTATGCCTGCAGGGGATGATGGGAAGTAAGGTATCATAGTGCTGATTATGCTGAAAAATTTCAATAACTGCCGAAACAACCGAAATATTTCAATATTTACAAGTATAAGCTATCACTCTGTGTTTACACAGCCACCATTTCTATTTTTTCAGCATAATCAGCAACGTGATACCTTACTTCCCATCGTCCCCTGCACGCATAAACTAAAAGCTGGAATTGCCTATTGAACTTTGTTTATAGACTTTCTACGATAACATGCATGCACCACCGGTTCATGTGCCGCTCTTATTACTTGCATGTGGAACAATATCTGATACAAAATCAGACTGATTTACATAAACATTAAGTTCAATTTTCCCAAAAAATATCATTAACTTATTTTAAATTGTTGAAGAATACCAATATTCTCATCAAGACGTTTCATGCGCAAGTCATCAGTACAACATTCGCGTCTATAGTATATAGCTTCCATACACAGGCATCTCTCTGGGTTTTAGCCCGCATGCGGATGGACATTCGCGTCCGTGTTGTCACATATACTACTCTATTGCAACGATGGTATTTTTTAAAAGTGCAATAATAACAAAGTAGAAAAAAATAATTTAATACTTCCACGGTAAACGATGCTTCACATTTAAAGCCAACATGGAAAAATATTGGATATTTTAATAATTAGGTTCATTATTAATGTCGTGCAAAACACACAGAACTAATAATTGTTTCTATGTCTACAAATCAAAACAGACTGACATAAATATTCCATACATACATTTCAATTAGTCTCAGCTGCTCGGCACATACCCGTCGTCGAGAGTTAAATTTTGATACCTCACGGTCAAAAGTTAAACCTTGCTTGAAACATTATATATAGGGACTCGATTTAGCTGAAACAGTTCTCTAATTTGAAACGATGCTAATACGGTTTGGCCTTTGGGCTTTTTTGTTAAACATGTTTGGTCAAGTGGCAAGAGGTGATAGCGACATTTTATTTCAAAGGAGACCAGGGCGCTATTTGGGAAATTACATGATACGATCGTTGAAAACAGAAGACGAGTTCGACTGCAGTAATAACTGTTTCAATGAACCAGGATGTGTTTCAGTAAATCTTAAAGTGAAAGGAAGGAATAAAGGTTTATGTGAACTCAATTCCAAAACGCTTGAACTGTTTCCAGAAGAAGGACAAAGCGATGCAAAAACGTTTACTTTCAAGTTGACTGCGTGTAAGAAACTAATATATAAAATTATTTATTATGCATTATTGAAGTTTAATATGTTAAAAGAAATCCTTCGGACAAAACTACTGAGTTTGGAACAAAACATGTTGAGCACAATGCACTACCTCTATGCCCTGGGCATACTTCATGATGTTCACCAGTGACCAGTGGGCACCCAGTGTGGCCTCGAATGGTCTATAGAGTTCTATAACATAGATTTTTGTACCTATATATATATATATATATATATATATATATATATATATATATATATATATATATATATATATATATATATATATATATATATATATATATATATATATATATATATATATAGATATATTTATATATATATAGATATATTTATATATATATATATGTATATATATAACAAATATAAAACATTTTCCGTGTTGATATACAGTTATACATTTTCCGTGTTGATATACGTTGTGTTTCCACATAATTTCTCGTTTTCCCAATTTCCACGAGTGTTGATATAACTTTAATATCAATATACAGAAAAAATGTTTTATATTTGTTTTATAATATATAGCACAAAGAAACATAAAGAAAGAAATTTTCGGACGTTTCCGTGTTGACATTATATCAACACGGCTCTTAGCCAATCAGCGTTCAGAATTTACAAACGCTATATTATAAATATATTTTAAACCCTAATGCCAAGCGGGCAAGCATGGAATTATTGATTTGAAGCATTTTCCTCTATGACCACTTTAACATCAAACTCACAGTAACAGGGCAGCAAAGAGGACAAATTACCCTTAAGGCCTGGCTGCAACTTACAGGATCCCCCCAAAGTTTAGCATGCCTCTGCATAAGATGGGCTATATTGTCTGTTAATTTTGGTGATACTACATGTAACACTGTTTTTGCAAGATGAAAATTGTGATCAATTTGCATGTGCCTAATTGCAAAGTCACTCTACTTCCAAGATCAGTGATTGTTAAAACAGTGGCAAATTTCAAAACACAAAGTAAATAATAAAGTAGGGCATATCAGAGCACATTGCCACTTAAACTAAAAGGGCTAATATTGCAGGCTTACATTCAGTTGTTGATCCTGATACGTCTTCGTCCACTACAAAAATTTGGGGTTCTCCAGTTGTGTGCATGCTGGATTCACCAGTTATTGTCATGCTGGATTCACCAGTTGTTGTCATGCTGGATTCACCAGTTGTTGTCATGATGGATTCACCAGTTGTTGTCATGATGGATTCACCAGATGTTGTCATGATGGATTCACCAGATGTTGTCATGCTGATTTCACCATTATCAAGTGTCATGCTGGATTCTCTAATTGCTGTCACACTGGGGTCTCTTTTTGTTTCGAAAGTTGATAATTTTAATAGTGGGATTCAGAATAAAGTTCTAGTAAATTACTCAGGTTAACTTTACAAGGTCTTTGCTTGAAATATCAACTGAACGTCTTGAAGTATATCAACTGAACATCTTGAAGTATCAACTGAACGTCTGAAGGTTTGTTATAAATTTGTCATATGAACTGTATAGTTTCATCCTGTGCCAGAGTTTGGCAATTTATTAACAGTAACGTTACCTGCTGAGCGATGCCATAAACCACTAGCCAAAAACCCACCATCCCATCACAGATCCCTCACTTACAGAGCTAGGTCTCACTTCTGTGGGAAAACCGTAAAGGTCGTAAAAATTTACCAAAATAGCTGGCAGTTTTAGCTTGTGCACAGTCCCAGACTGACACCATGTTCTTGCAAGTGCCCTAACAAGAGGCATTCACCCCCCTGGAACATTAAATTTCAAATACATCTTCAGGGGGGTGACTTAAAACGGGCTAAATTATCCTGAAGTGAGAATTCTGTATGTAAGTACTCTGTGATCCCATCCCGATTAAGTATAAAAATTATATGTAAATTATAAATTATTTAATACCTTGTCTATAATATCAAAGTCAGGGTCACTGTCACTGCAGTATGATGGCCTGCACAGAAATTCCAAATAATCTTCTGTCTTGCAAATGTAGAACGTCAAACGTGTGTATGCTTTTCCAATATCTTTCTTGTATTTTTCCAGGGTAAAGGGTTCCTCACTACCAGGTAGGTTAATAACTTTGGTTCGATCTGGGTACAATAGAGTAAACCCAAACGCTCCAAACGTTAAATCGCTGTTAAATTTTACGATTTTCTCGGCAGCTTTATTCAGCAATTCCGTAGAACCAATAGTTGGGCAGACTGTAAGAGGCAATGAACTTCCTCTAACGAATTTTAAATCATTGTCGCGAAGTTTTTTTAGAGCAATATTTATCTTAACTTCACTGGGCGTTTTCTCGTTTCCCTTCTTTTCTATCTTCGCTTTCTTTGCTTTTGGTTTGAATCTCGAGCTTCTTTCTTTCTCTTTACGCTGACGATATTCGTTAAAGGACACTGGTGTCCGCGATTGACTTGTTGATGCTGGCGTTGTCGCATTTGTTGATGTTGGGATAACTGTGCGGCCTGTATCACAATCGACACTGGAAGAAGGCTTTTCGTTGACTGAAGAGTCTTGACCACAAACGTGACAAAATTTCGCATTAATAAGTAAAGAACAGCCGCATTGACTGCAAAACATTTCCTCCACAAAGCAGTAATACAATACTCAGAAACATGTGCTGATGTGCAATGTCGCCAATAATGTCGCCACTGTTTGCCAGTTTGTGCCTGCGCGCGCATGTTTGCACCCAAAAGTTTTTTTAATGTTTGCACCGAGTTTTTATTTAAGTTTGCACCGAGTTTTTATTTAAGTTTGCACCGAGTTTTTATTTAAGTTTGCACCGAGTTTTTATTTAAGTTTGCACCGAGTTTTTATTTAAGTTTGCACCGAGTTTTTATTTAAGTTTGCACCGAGTTTTTATTTAAGTTTGCACCGAGTTTTTATTTAAGTTTGCACCGAGTTTTTATTTAAGTTTGCACCGAGTTTTTATTTAAATTTGCACCGAGTTTTTATTTAAGTTTGCACCGAGTTTTTATTTAAGTTTGCACCGAGTTTTTATTTAAGTTTGCACCGAGTTTATTTAAGTTTGCATGTCCCTTGTGGGCCATCGTAAATTTTACCTTTTGAGAAGATATATTCTTGAATGGAGACTGTTTGCCTTGCTAAGTTTAAAATTGGTCCAAAAATCCCGATATTTTTGTAAAATATCATCATATACAGGTATTTTGAGATATAATATTGCTGTCAGTTGCATGATACCTTCAGAGCACTGTTCAATATTGTCTACTTTTAATAGCGCTAGCATACAAATCGATGAGCTGTTTAGGGATTATATTTGTTACTAAATTTCCCAAAATTAGAACTTCAATTGTTGTTTTGCTCCAGTTTGATCCATGTAATGTACCATTTACATATCGACTATCGAGTATAAATGTTTACGAATACATAAGTTAATTATTAACCAGCTCTTAATAGCGTGCGTGTGAAGGATTTGTTATTTTATTATATATTCTACCACCTCAAACTCAAATTATAGCAAATAGTTTAGAATAATTATTTTAATGTGTGTTCACTTTGATGCCTAGTTAAAATAATCAGTAAAATTACTTTATTTCGATACACTATTGTCTACTGATCTTATTATATTCCACAAGTACTATAGTACCCAAAAATACCGCATCGAGATATGTCAGCCCAGTGCGACACCAGAAATTATTATTGTTACCCCACACGTCGCGTTTAAGGGGCCGATTACATGGGCGAGTTGTCCCGGCTAAGCGAGTGGACTCGCTTTGCCGAGTTGACCCGCTTCCTATATATATTGTCTATTATTTTGACATTTCGATTACATGCAAAGCGAGTTGTCCCGCCTTGCCGGGACCGCGGCTGTAGCTTGCCGAGACGTCAACTCGCTTAGCCGGGACAGAAATTGCCCACACATCCCATGTAATCGCTTTTTGCCGAGTTGGCTCGGCAAAGCGGGCTGAAAACCACACTTATGCATGTTTTAATTTCGATTATATGTACAAATATAAGTTAAAAAAACTTCAAATAACGTCAAAATGATATTA